TTGAATCCCATAAATAGATGCAATTATTGATTATTAATCAATTTTAAAATTACAGTATTGAAACTGTGGTATTGGTACAGAGCTAGAAAATTGATCAATGGAACAGAATATACTTTTTAATAAATGGCTTATTAAATGGACATTTAATAAATGACTCTGACAACTAGCTCTCGATGTGGAAGAAGACTAAATTAGACCCCTATATCACACTATACCCCAAATGTAATTTCAAGTGGACTAAAAACTGAAATGTGAAACTTTAGAAGACAACTTAGGAGCATATCATTATTACATAAGATTCATTAGAATAAATAAAATAGATTTTAAAAATCCATAGAGGAAAATTTTTAAAAATCGAGTGAGAAAGCAAGGTGGAAACGGATACCTACAGTATGATGATAAGAATATGCACTGTTTGTAGAAAATTATATGCACATATATGGGAATAAACATAATAAAAGCACATAAACTTTAAGTGTAAAGCTAGGCAAATTTAACTACTTAAAAAACAAAACATCCGTAGAAAAAAATATCATGAGCAAAGTAAAACTCCAATCCATGCAACAGAAGAAAATAATTGGAACCCATATATTCAATAAATAGTTGATATGCATAATAATAAAAGATTCCAATAAGGCTATAATAAAACAGAAATACTCTGAAAGAAAGAGACAAAATGTTCACAATTCAGAAAGAAAACCACAGTGACCAGTAAATATCTGAAAAAATTCTAAATCCCATTAACAATCAGGGAATTGAAAATTAAAATCAATGAGACCCCATTTCGTACCCATCACATAGGCAAAAACTAGTAAATCTCATAACATCAAATATTAGTGAAGATGTAGGGAAAACAGGAACCCACAGACACTGTAGGTACAACTACTTTGACAAATGATGGGGAGTCCTAGGAAAACTGAAGATGAGTGTATTCTTCAATCCACGAATTCCATTTCTAGATGTCTACTCTAATGAAATCTTGCATGCACAAGAAGATTTGTGTGAAGTTGTTCATTGTAGCATGGTTTGTAATAGCTAAAGAATGAAAGCATTTCAATTTTCTGAACTAGTCCATTTTCTCACTGCTGTAAAGAAACACCTGAGCCTGGGTATTCTATAAAGAAAAGAAGTTTAATTGGCTCACAATTCCACAGGCTGTACAGGAAGCATGGCTGGGGAGGCCTTAGGAAACTTACAATCATGGCAGAAGGTGAAGGGGAAGCAGGCATGTCTTACCTGTCCAGAGCAGAAGAAAGAGAGAGAGGTGGGAGGTGCTACAAAATTTCAAACAACCAGATCTCACGGTAACTCACTCACTATCATGAGAACAGCACTAAAAAAAAATCCACTCTTATGATCCAATCCCACATTGGGGATTACAATTGGACATGAGATTTTGGGGGAGACACAGACTCAAACCATATCATGTCCATGGATATCCATTATCCTCTTTAGAGAGGAGTTCATTCTTTCCCCATGGGTTCAGCAGAAGATTGATTTCTTGCTCCTTAGCGGTTCTGTTTGGCTTGTGTGTCCATCTCTGATCAGATCCTTGAGGGTAATAGGATGGAATCAGTTAAGTGGCTTAAGTCAATCAGGGTCTAAGTCTAGAACAGTGGTTCTCAACCAATGGTGGGTGATTTTTCCCCTAAGGGGACATCTGGCAATGTTTGGAGACATTTTTAATTGTCACACGGGAGGAGGATACTACTGGCATTTAGGAGGTGGAGACCAGGAATGCTCCTAAACATGCTACAATGCACTGGACAATTAAACCTATGCCCCCCGACCCACCCATACGCTCACCAAAGAATTATTTGGCCCAAAATGTCCATAGTACTGAGGTTGTGAAATTCTGCTCTGGAGCCATCTTATCTAAATCTCATGACTAAGAATGGGAGGGGGAGTTGTTTCCCAAAGAAGAATCAGAGTATAGTTCAGAGGGAAGGGAAAGTAATTAAAGTATCAGCCATCAATCACAGTATACTTAAAAAAGATTGAATAAATATATACACCAAATATTATCAGTAATGATTTCTGAGACAGTGTTCAATAATTTCTTTACATGCTTCTGCTTTCCAATTTATCTAAAATGAGATTCTGTGAAATGTAAAAAGTCATTTGAAGAGAAAAGTACAAAAGAAGTGTCTTTTCACCAAACAATATTAACCTCTTCCAAAATGGTGTGCCTCAGTAGAGGTTGGCTCCATGTGCATGCTTATACCCACTGTTACTGTCAAGTATGAATTATTTTGTATTCTACTTTTTTCTCCTTGACATTATTTCATGTAGACCATTCCACAAATCCAGGTAGTCCTCATATTTGACATTTTAATGGTTATATAATGTTTCATTGTATTGCTATGTCAAGATTTACTTAGTCATTTCCTGGCTGTTAATGATTTTTGGATTCATCTGCCATTATGAAAAGCATAAACTTCTCTGCAAAACTGGAGCTTTCTTTACTATTGATTTTTTCCCTTGGGATTTGCTCCCCAAAGCCAACTTGCCAAATTGTCATCTTTAGTACATGTTGTCAGATTTCTTTGCAGAAAAAGTATGACACTATTTCTACAGGCAGTGTATGAGTTCTTAAAGCTCTGGTAGCTTTAGTTCCCCCCCAAAAAAACTATTATTAATAATTTAATATGCATGAGGCAATATATTAGGCCATTTTAATTTTTAATTCTTTAATTATTATGGAAGCTAAACATTTTCCCAAGTGTTTGTTTGCTATTTGTATTTTTCCTTGTGCAGACCATCTGTTCATATTCTTTAACCATCTGTCCAGTCAGACCTGAAATTGGCCATATAGATAATATTAATTTCTCTAATATATATAAATGTTAAATGTTTACTGTTATGTGTATTACAATGCTCTCCTATTTTTATCATTTTAATTTTTGTAATTTGAGACTAATCATTTTTTGTTCTTCATCTTGTGGTATGTATGTATGTACTTAAATTTCATTCACTTGAACCTGTCAACCTTATCATTTGTTCAGTGCTAACTCCTTTTATTGCTTCTGTTGTCCAAAAATTCTTTTTATTTCAAAACAGATATGCAGCATTGTTTTATTTCATGTATGTGTGTATGTGTGTGTGTGTGTGTGTGTGTGTGTGTGTGGTAGAGAAGTTTAAACTTTCCCTCTGAAGTAAGACTGCTGAAATAAACTGACAGTAGAGTAGCAGAAGAAAAAGCATACAAATGTATTAAAGTGCACATGGTCACAGGACCCCCATAAATATGAGACTCGAAGAAAGGCCAAATTGTTGAAACTTATATATCTTCTTCATAGGAAAGAGGGTGATGGCGGAAATGTAGGCAATTTTGAGGGATTATAAATAATTTTCAGGGAAATTGAATAGGCCCAAAGAGCAGACAGTAGTTTTTGAATTATTCTCTTTGGAAGAAGGATGGGACCCCCAGTTATGGGAAGGTAAGGGGCAGAACTGTACTGTGAACAAAGGTTGTCTTATTATGCATTTAATTTTTATTTAAATAGTAAATATTTAAATAATCTTAAATAAATCTTAAATAATAAAGTAATCCTCAGAGGTGCCCTCAGAAGAACAGATAAAAAGTGTTTCAGGGCATAGCGATGACTTTTAGTCTTTCCTCTTCTCCAGTGGTTAATCTTTCCTGGTTATCTGATAAGATTCCTAGTAAAGAGATCTTAAGACAATTGCATTTCTTTTGGAAGACTCAGTGGGAGAAAACCCTTCCCTTCACTTGTGGGGAAGAAATAAAAAGAAAGTCCTTGTTTCTGAGGCAGCTTCTAAAGCCTTCCTATTTCATTTAATTCAAAAATGCTCAGCATACCAGAACACCATACTTTGGGGTATTGTACTCTGAGCTCTGACATGATATGCATACACACACACTACTTTTAACTCAAAAAATAATTCTTTTGGTTGAAGTGAATTTTTAATCTAAGCCTTAGACTCCAAGGTTATTTCCCCTGTATTGATAGTCAGTTTCCCCCCAAATATATACTGAATAATTTTATATCCCCTTGTTTCTAATAGGTTAAATATGTATTAATTTCTGGAACCTCTTATCTCCTTGGACTATTTTTTGGTTATTATTTCAATCAGAACACCGTTTTCATACCTACTCTTCCTTGATAAGCACTTTTAATATGTGAGAGGCTACTTCTGCAATATTATCTTTAACATAAAAGTATATTTTCATCCACATTTATTTCAGTTGTTATTTTTTCAATTCCTATAAAGTAATCCATTGGAATTGTAAGTGACATGGCTTAAATCTTTTAAGTTGAATATTATTTTAAACTTCATAATTTCAGCTCTTTGGTCAGCAAGTATCTTTCCATTTTTCACCACACGTCATATAATTACAGAGTGAAGAGAGTTTAGATATAATTTGAGTTCTAGTTCTAGGCCACCCTCCCCTGTATTGGTGTCATTTTCCAGATGATCAAACCAAGGCCCAGAGACTGGTTTGTCCAAAACATTTGTATCTGCTTAGGAGAACACCTAGAAATTGAACCCAGAGCGTATCTCATGCTATTTTTTTTTCTATCGAACCATTTATTGAAGTCTTCATTCACTGCCTTTAGAGCTTTAAAACTATATTTTATATATATTAGATATTCCAGTTGGTTAGTTTCTGGGAATTCTCTAGATTGAGGTAGAACAAAAATGAGCATCGATGTTGAACTTTGGGCAGATGGAAGCAGATAAAGTCTCTTCAGTGCAGAGAAACTGTGCAAAGCTTATTCCAGTCCCTCGTTTACCAAACGGCTTTTTGGTAGGGAAAAGCAAATTGGCTTTTGCACTGATCTCCCATTTTCTGGTCATTCTATCTTATCTTTTAGGGCTTTTATTATCAAACTTACAGTTTCCAGGGAAGTGTGTTAGACATACAAAGAGTCAAAGTTATAGAACTTTGCCTTTCCTGAAGATTCTCACAATCGAATTCAGGACATCAGTTACACACTGTATCAACTTCATGAAACAGAAAATCCCAGTAATAGTGATTTAAACAAAATATAGATTTATTGGTCTCTCATGTAACTGGAAATCTGAAGACAGGCAATCCAAGGCTAGTATATTGGCTCCACACTGTCTTCAGAAACCTGGGCTCCTTCATGTCTTCTACTTCTTTAAAATCAAGATGTGGGTCTCATCTTCATGTATACCAGAAGCTTGCCAGTGCTCCAGCCATCATGACTAATTTCCAAGTAGAAAGAAAAGACAGAGCAAAAGTCCAGTGCTCAGTCAGCTCCTCTTTAACTAGTTTTCCTGGCAGCTGCCAGTGATATCTGCTCCTATCATTGCCCATAACAGCATCATATGATTGCCACCAACTACAAGGGAACTGGCAGATGTAACATTTTAGGTAGGCATATTGCTACTGTTAATAAAATCAAAGATCTGTTTGTAAGTAGAGAGAGTGGATACTGGCCAGGCAACAGATAGTCTCTACCACTCAGTGTACGAAGTAAAAGGGAAAACATAAAGTAGAGTTTTGTTCAGGCTAAGACCATGTGTCCAAGAATGTGAGGTTAATGCATGGCCTTGATGGTTAAGTTGGATTTAGACAAATGGTGGTGAGAAGAGGGGACATTTTAAGACCAGTAAGGGCCTGGGCACAAATGAGGTAAAGGTCCTCCCAGCAGGTGTAAAGGACAATGGTGGTAGGGAGGGAGGGACTTCCTCTGCCCTTAGAATGACTTTCTGGGAGTGTGAGGATATGCAGAAACGCAAGGATAGATTGGTTACCTGCTCTGTTTACCAATTACTGTTGTCCTCATTAAATCTTCAATAACAACTAACGTTCATTAAAACCAAGTATGTACCAAAGGGTTTGCTAGGTGTTTTAACATATGTTGTATCTGATCCTTACAATAACCCCATTTTGGGGTTAAGAAAACTGATCTGTCACAGGTTGAATACTTGATCAAGCTCATGCATCTTTTAAATTTAAGATAATCTGACTTGGGTATGTTTTACACCAGACTTCATGGTTTTTTTTTCCCACAATGTCACAATGTTACGTTAATTCATTAACTTTGCTTGGGACTGGGGGTGAAGGTGGGTGAGTTAAACTGGTATTCCTTGATATTTTCTAAATTCTAAACTTTAGGGGAACTTTACAAACTCTTCAGCTAACTAGCAGTGTGATCATAGACAAGGTACTTAACCTCTCTGGATTTGAATTTGTTTACTTATTACTTAGATACAAAACCAGACAGATACTATAAGAGAAGAACATTTCAGTCCAACATACTTCATCAACACAGACACAAAAATTCTAAAAATTTTAATCCATGATACATAGAACGTAATCCAACAATACATGAAACAAATAAACCGATAAAGCAGGCTTTATTGAAGAAATACTAAGTTGGTTTAACATTTGAAAACCAAGTAACGAACTAAAAACAGAAAATAGGAAAAAACATATTATTATATCAATAGCAGCAGAACAGCATTTGACAAAAATCCAACATCCCTTCCTGATAAAAACTCTCAGTAGACTACAAATAGAAATTTCCTTAATCTGATAGAAAATTTATGAAAAACTTAGAGCTAACATGATACTTAATGGTAAAAGACTGAATGCTTTCCTCTAAGATCAGGAACAAGACAAGGATGTTCACTCTCACCATTTCTATTCAACATTGTGCAGGCTCTAGCCAGTGCAATAAGGCAAGAAAAAGAAATCAAAGACATCTGTATTAAAAAGGAAAGAGTAAAACTCTTTCTACACAGATGACATGATTTTTCTATGTAGAAAATCTGATAAAATCCATCAAACGTTACTAGAACCAAGAAATGAGTTTAGCAAGATTACAGAATACAAGATCAATATACAAAATCTACATACTAGCAATCAGAAATTGAAATTGATAAAACAATACCACAGCATCAAAAATATGAAATTATTTAGGATTAATCTATCAAAAGATGTGCAAAACCTATACACTGAAAACTACAAAATACTACTAGTAGATGTTAAGGAAGACCTAAATAAATAGAGAGGCACATCTTTATTCATAGGTCAAAATATTCAATATTTTATGATACTAATTTTCCCCAAACTTATGGATAGAATCAATGTAATCCCAATCAAAATTTAAGTAAGCTTGTGTTTAGAAACTGAGAAACTGAATCTAAAATGTACGTTGAAAGACAAAAGACCTAAACTAGCCCAAACAACCTTAAAAAAGAACAGAGGTACAGTACCAATGCTAGCTAGTTCTAAGTCCAGTCATCAGGATATTGTAATATTGATGTAAAAATAGACAAATTAATTAATGGGACAGAATAGGAAGTCCAGAAATAGACACAACACATTGATAGGAAACTGATTTTTGACACAGATTCAAAAACAGTTCAGTGGAGAAAGAGTAGCTTTTTAAAAATTGGTGCTAGGAGCCTGGTGTGGTGGCTCACACCTGTAATCCCAGCACTTTGGGAGGCCAAGGCAGGCGGATTACCTGAGGTCAGGAGTTTGAGACCAGACTGGCCAACATGGTGAAACTCTGTCTCTACTAAAAATACAAAACTTAGCCAGGCATGGTGGCACATGCCTGTAATCCCAGCTACTCGGGAGGCTGCGGCAGAAGAGTTGCTTGAGCCTGGAAGATGGAAGTTGCAGTGAGCCGACATCGTGCCACTGCACTCCAGCCTGGCCGACAGAGTGAGACGCTGTCTCAAAATAAATAAATAAATAAATAAATAAATAAATAAATAAATAAATAAATAAAATAAAATAAAAATGGTACTAGAACAACTGGATATAGACATGCAAAAAACAAAACAGATAAACCAAACAAAACAAAAATTTTGGCCGTATGTAAAAATTAATTTTAAATGGGTCAGAGACCTAAATGTAAAACCTAAAACTATAAAAATTTTAGAACAAAACATAGGCGAGAATCTCTGTGATCTTGGATTAGGCAAAGATTTCTCAAATATGATACCAAAAAAAGAACAATCCATTAAAAAATTGATAAATTAGGCTTCATCAAAATTAAAAACCGCTCTTCCCAAGACACTATTAGGAGACAGAAAAGACAAACAAGAGACTGGGGAAAAAAATCTTTCTAAAGCATATGTTTGATCAAAGATTTGTATCCAAAATATATAAAGTGTCCTAAGCTCAATAATTAAACAACTCAACATTAAATGGGGAAAAGATTTGAACAGACACTTCACCAAGAAAAATACACTCGCTGCAAATAAGCACATGAAAAGATGCTCAACATCATTAACGGCTAGAGGATGCATAATAAAGCCACAATGAGCTACCACTATGCAGGATCAGAACATCTACAATTAAAATCTCTGGACTTTCAAGTGTTGACAAGGATGAAGAACAACTGGAACTCGCATAGACTGCTAGTGGGAAGGTAAAGAAAAAACCACTTGGGAACACAGTATAGTCGTTTCTTAAATGGTTACACCTACCTTATGACCTGGGCATTCCACTTCCAGGTATTTACCCCAGAGAAGAAAAACCGTATATGTCTGTACGAAGATTTGCACAGGAATGTTCCTAGTAGTTCTAACCAGGAAAATTGAAAGCAGCCTAAATCAGGTGCTGACTAGATAAACACACGGTGGTATATCCATAAATGGAATACTGCTCAGGAAGGAAGGAATGATTGTTGCATGCAGAAACACGCAGGCATGTCAAAGTAACTATGTTGAGTGAAAGAAGCCAGACAAAATCAAGTACATATGGGATGATTCCATTTATGGACGCCTCTAGAAAATGCAAACTAAAACAGATTAGTTTTTGGGCTGCGGATGGGGGATAGGTGGGGTGGGGTAGGGCGAGGGAGGAGCAGGAGTGGGAGGAGCTGGGAGATGCAGAGATGGGTTGGGGAGGTCCTCGGGAAAGGGAAGGGAGAGAGGAAGTGGGAGGAAAGGCGAGGGGAAAAGGAGGGGAAGAGGGATGGGGAGAGAGAGAGGCAGAGTGGGAGGGAAGAGGGGCGGGGACCTGTGAGGGCACAGGGCGCATAGTGGGAGGAGGTGGGAAGGAGGGAAGAAGGGAGGAGCAGGGGAGTGAGAAGAGGTGGCGGGCGGTGTGGGCGGAGCGTGGGGAGGGAGGCAGACTAGCGCCGACGGAGGGGAGAGAATGGGGGAGGGGTAGGATGGGGGCAGGGACAGAGACGGGCAGAGACGGGCAGAGACGGGCAGAGGGCAGAGGGCGGAGCGGCGCAGGAGCGGGCGTCATGGCGCGGCTCCTCTGGTTGCTCCGAGGCCTGACCCTCGGAGCTGCGCCTCGGCGGGCGGTGCGGGGCCGAGCGGGCGGCGGCGAGCCCTGCACTGGGCCGGTACTGGGGGAGGCAGGTAGGACGCGGGTCCCGCAGGCCCCACCGCTGCCTACGGCTTTCGGCGTCATTTCACCCGCTGCACCCGGGAGCCTAAGGCCGGTCCAGGCCGGGCGCTGCCCGGGCAGGCACCCCTGCCCCCCCCCCCCCCCCCCCCCCTGGTTGTCATCCAGGCTGGCGCTGCCCGCAGGCACTCACCCCCCCCGCCCCGGGAGAGTCTGGGGGAAGGTGGATTGCAAACTTGGTGGCGGCGGGGTGGGGGCGGGAATCTTGGCGCGGGGAGTGGGGGCATAAATAGGGCTCGGGGGCCCCTGACCCCTATCCGGGACTCCAGGCGAAGGCCCGCGGTCTGGGCTGCAGCAGCCCGGCCCGGGCGCCCCTGTGAAGGCCTCCAGTATTTTGCACTGCAGCCCTCTTGGTAGTTCCGCGGGCTTCCTTCCAACATCTGAGAAGCAGGCAGTTCACACTAGGGATTCCTGGGGTGTTTCCTGCCCTGTTGTCTTCCCGTAAGTGTGTCTAAGAGCCAGGGAGACTGGGTTGATCATTTGTTCTTTCTTTAAGGTGACAGCCATTGTTAATGACTGAGACAGAGACGGTGGGGCGTGGCGACTGACTTCGTGAGAATTCGAGGAAATGAACACATGAGCCTCTAAATGTGCGCGTAATTTTTTTTTTTTTAAATCTTGGCGCGGGAGTGGGGCATGTACAGGCTCGGGGGCCCCTGACCCTATCTGGGACTCCCAGGCGAAGGCTCGGGTGGTCTGGCTGCAGCAGCCTGGCCCAAGTGCCCTGTGAAGGCTCTAGCATTTTGCACTGGGCAGCCTCTTGGTAGTTCCATGGCTTCCTTCCAACATCTGAGAAGCAGGCAGTTCACACTAGGGATTCCTGGGGTGTTTCCTGCCCTGTTGTCTTCCTGTAAGTGTGCTCCAAGAGCCAGGAGATCACACCATTTGTTCTTTCTTTAAGGCATATGCATTGTTAATGACTGAGAACAGAGACAGAGAGAGAGAGAGAGAGAGAGAGAGAGAGAGAGAGAGAGAGAGAGAGTTTTCTGCTAAATGCCTTTGGATCCTCTCTTGGATGTGGGTACCTGCACACTTCACCAAGCAGGAAGGAGTCACCTCGGGAGACCTGTGCCAGCTACCCCTGTATTTCAGGTCTATTTCAGGGGAACTTAGTGCCCCAGGGGATTGGCTTCCTCGGTGGTTGCCGGACTGACCCACTCTGAATCCAATTTTATATATGTTCACTGAAGACATTCACCCAACTGATGAAAATGTACCAACTCATTCTGAGCTCTTTTTAGCCCCTGAAGTTTTCAAAATGTAGTGTTAAAAGAATACTTAACTAAATAAAAGCGTTGGCGTTGTGAAATGTTAGCTGATCCAACATGACTTCCAGCTATGGCCTTTCTAACCACTGGTGTCTCTGGTCAGTCAGTCTGATGACCTTTGTGAGCCCACTGTATGCCAAGCATTGTTTTGCTGAGAACCACAGGTAATAGAAACAGATCACAGTTACCGACGAGCTCTCTATAACCTCTTGATACAGGATGGTGGTTATAGCGGTAACTACTTCATGGCTATAATTGCTGCTGTCAGAAGCAGCCTAATGAATTGCCCTGGGATCTGAAGTTCTCCACCAACATTAAAATTTGGCCAGCCACCAGTAGGTAACAGGAGCTATGTACCTTATCAGATATCCCTCCTGGGAATTTATTCGAAGGAAATAGTTCAAAAGAAAAACAAGGAGATATATGCAAAGATGCTTTAAACACTAGTCTCTTACAAAATGGAAACTGGCTGTAACCCAAATCAGTTAAGAAATACGTAAATCATGAAAATTAAATTCAACAAACTTTTAGGCAGTCATTAAAAATGATAAACAGGGAGTAGTTCTGTGATGAAGGGCTTGGGCATGAATAGATGCAGATTTTGAGTCTTGGCTCTCTGTTACTTCCTGGCTGTGTCTGAGCTCAGGCTGCTATTGCAAAACACCGTGGACTGGGTGACTTAACCAACATTTTCTGGAGTTCTTGAGGCTGGGAAGTCCAAGATCAAGGTGGGAACGGACTTGGTTCCTGATGCAGACCTGCTTCCTGGCTTGCAGTTGACTGCCTTCTCAATCTGCGTTCACGTGACTGTCTCAGGAAGGACCACTAATGCCTCAAAGGAGCCTCACCTTTATGATCTAATCTAAAACTAATAACCTCCCAAGCTGCATCTCCAAATACCATCTCACTGGGAGTTAGGGCTTCAGCATATGGGAGTGGGGAAGAGGAGCAGGGAGAACACATAACATTCAGTTCGTAACAATGTCTTTGGACATATTTCTTGAATTTGGTAAGTTTAAACTTCAGATTCTTTTTTTTCCCTCTATCAAATAAGGCTAATGATAACGGTAGGGTTGTTGTACAGAATAACTTTTTAATTAAATATTTTGTTACAATGTTTGACACTTAGCAGGCACACAATAAATGTTAGTTATGATTACATAAATAAGTGGAAAGGACAAAAATGTAGCTACATTTAAGTTAAATCGTGGGCTTAGGGAGTGTTGAGAGAGAGAGAAATTGGGAGGGGGGAAATGAGAAGATACTGAAATGACAGTATTTTTCTCCAGTGCTGCAATTTCTCATATGCTCAGAGTGATTTTTTTTTTTTAATCCAGGTTGACAAAGAGCAAACTGAAAAAGGAAAGTAAGAAATATTCTGGAGCAAAAAATCTGTTGCTTCAGGAAAATATTCTTTCTAGAGATAACTATGCTAGGAAACCATCCTGGGCATAGGGTTAAAATAGTCCAAGCACTGTGATGGGAGAGGCTAGTTCTGCAGATCAGAATGGGCTGGGGATTCATTTAATACCAGTTTCTGATGAGTTCCATTAGATTCAACACATTATTTATTGAAATGAAGTGGGCTTATGTGTGACCATTGGCAGTATAGCAACTGTGGCCAGGAAGATTAGGAAAACCCGAAGAAGGCACCCAGTAGGTAACGATAGGACCAATAGTGGATTTCCTTAGGGATGAAAAAGTTGAGGCCCACCCCGTGGAACTTCTGGCCAACAAGATATATGACCTGTGCAAATCACAGCACACAGAGAGAAGGGAACTCCAAGGAATTTGAGTTTATTAAGGTATAATTCAAAGTAAAGTTGTGTAGCTATCTCATGCAATAACAGCAACTGATAAATGTTTTCATAGTGAAGATAGCAAGAGAATGTAGAGGGAATCTGGAAAATGTGTAGCCCCCAAAGGATGAGCACGTGATGCAGAGGACAGAAAATACCTGCACACACACACAAAAGGACACAATCAGTGTGGAAACCTCTCTCTAGCCATGGTGGCCAGAAGACTTGGCTCATTCCCAAGTGAGAGAACTTGTCGTGTATCTAATGCACACGTGCCTAAATTGCTGTTTGATAAAACTGCTCAGAATTTACTCATACTGCAATTTTTATTTAAACTTTGGTTGTTTTCTAAAACCCCAGTGTGTTCATTTGCTAGGGATGCCATAACAAAATACCACAGGCTAGGCAACTTAAACGATGGAATTTATTTTTATATTGTTCTGGAGGCTGGAAGTCCAAGACCAAGACTTGTCCTGAGACCTCTTTCCTTAGCTTGGGGATAGCCACCTTCTTGCTGTGTCCTCAGGTGGCCTTTTCCCTGCTGTCCCTTCCTCTTATGAGGACACCAGTCTTATTGGACCAAGTCCCCCTCTTAATGGCCTTATTTTAACATGATTGCCTCTTTAAAGGCCCTGTCTCTAAATGCAGTCACATTTTAAAGTACTGGGGATTAGGACTTCAACATATGAATTTGGAAGTTGGGGGGCAGGGAATGTCATAATTCAGCTCTTAACATCCAGGTCAAAGAAACCTCTTAAAGTGATACAGCACACATATATCCTGACCTGGGTGTACCCAACTGAGCGTTTGTCATTGCGCTATTAAAGCAAAGTCTGTGTGCCCTTGACTGAGCCTTCTAGGCTGGCAAATCTGCAGCTAAATGTTGCATAATTGGTGCTTGAACAAGAACTAGTCTAAACATTATTGCCTACCCACTAAAGCTTTCACACACATTAAAAATAGTGTAAAAGGTCCACATTGATAAAGATTAAAAGAACCATTAAAAATGTTCTTTCATATTGTACTTAGATGAAGGCTAAATTCTTTCGGTTAGCAATTTAAATACTAGTTATATATTTTAAACTTAAAAAGAAAACATTACAGTGTGGCACTGTATCATGAACCTGTAGTCTCAGCTACTTCGGAGGCTGAGGAAGGAAAATCACTTGAGCCCTGGTGTTCAAGGCTGTAGTGTGCTTTGATCATGCATATGAATAGCCATTGTGCTCCATTCTGAGCAATACAGTGACACCCGGACTCTTAAAAAAATTAGGGCAGAGGGAGGAGGTGGTGTCTGAAGAACAGATAGTCACTCTCTAATAGGTGTAACAAAATACAGAGGTGTGGGAGAGGTAGCTGGGAACCCAGACAAACTCAAGCCTTAGGTTCAAAGCGAAGGAAGTACCTGCTTTAAAACAGGTACTTGAGAGTCCCACTCTCAAATTCATGAGAGTCCCACTGACTTTTAGCCCTTCTCTAATTCCCACTTTCCAGTGTCAGCTACTATAATGTGCTGCCTGTTGAGTCACACTAAGGACAGTGCTTCCAGGAGACAATAGGGTTTTTTTCTAAGCCCATTCCACTTCCTCCCTGAAAGGAGATAGGAAGATAAAGCCAGCTTCACAGACTGTAAATTCCAACCTTAGTACCTGAAGTTAGTCCTCTTACCTATCCACAGGAATAATGCAAGATCTTTGCCACAGCCAAGAGGAGGGTGTTTTATCATGATGCTGTTTACTCCTTTCCTTGACAAATGTCAGTGATAGCCAGAGATTAGGTCTCACAAATTCCCCCACGGGACCAGAGTTTAAATATGGGAGGAGGAACCCAGGACATTCACTCTTACTAGCAAAGCGTGTTCTTGCTCTTTTTAGTGCCTCTGGCTAAAGCATTCCCTTTTTTCATCATTTGGGGTGGCCAAAAAGAGATAGGATCCTGAACAGAAGTGGCAAAAAAAATAGACAGGAGGAGGCTTGTATTAGTTTGTTTTCAAAGTGCTATAAAGAAATACCAGAGACTGGGTAATTTATGAAGAAAAGAAGTTTAATTGGCTCACGGTTCCACAGGCTGTACAGGAAGCATGGCTGGGGAGGCCTCAGGAAACTTACAATCATGGTATAAGGTGAAGAGGAAGCAAGCACATCTTACATGGTCAGAGCAGGAGGAAGAGAGAGAGGGGGAGGTGAACTTTTAAACAACCAGATCTCTCAATAACTCACTATCACGAGAACAGCACCAAAGGGCCCCCATGATTTAATCACCTCCCACCAGGCCCCACCTCCAACACTGAGGATTACAATGTCACATGAGATTTGTGTGGGGACACAGAGCCAAACCATATCAGAGGCAGTCACTTGTTCCATTGTGACAAGATGGAAAAAGGGTAGATGTAGGTATTGTTAAGTGTGATGGTGTGGTAGCAAGAAGGTTTGTGGCTTTTGATTTTGCAAAAGTGGAATCTGTTGAGAGGAAGGGGAGATGTAGTAGAGACCATGGTTTGAGGAGAATGGAAAAGGTTTTTTTTTTTTTTTTAATTTCAGTAGGTTTTTGGGGAACACGTGGTGTTTCATTACATGAATAAGTTATTTCTGTAATGGTTATTTATCAGATTTTGGTGTATTCGTCACCCGAGCAGTGTACATAGTACCCAATGTGTACTCTTTTATTCCTCATCCCCCCTCACAGCCTTTCCCCTCTGAGTCCCCAAATTCTATTGTATCATTCTTATGCCTTTGCATCCTCATAGCTCAGCTCCCACTTATAAATGAGAACATACAATGTTTGGTTTTTCATTCCTGACTTACTTCACTTAGAATAATAGTCTCCAATTCCACCCAGGTTGCTGTGAATGCCATTATATTGAGTGGTATTCCTAGGTAAATATATACCATCATTTCTTCATCCACTAGTTGATTGATGGGCATTTGTGTTGGCTCCATATTTTTGTAATTGCAAATTGTGCTACTATAAATGTGTGTGCAAGTATCTTTTTTCATATAATGACTTATTTTCCTCTGGGTAGATATCCAGTGGTGGGATTGCTGGATTAAATGGTAGTTCTACTTTTAGTTCTTTAAGGAATCTCCACACTGTTTTCCATAGTGGTTGTACTAGTTTACATTCCTGAGAGTGGAAAAGGTTTAAAACACCCATTGCAGAGAAATGGGAAGAGAGCTGACTGGGGAAAGATAATACTCACCATGGTTCACTGAAACCCCAGTGAGATGAGTAACTTTGAGTTTATAAGGACAACTCTCTCCCCAGGTGGGGGATTTTCTCCAGTAGTGCTTGATGGTACCTGTACCATGGAGAAGATAGTTTTTTAAATAAGCTTTTTTATTTTGGAATAATTTTAGATTTATAGACAATTCATAAAAATAGTGCAGAGTTCTCAAAACCCCTCACCCATGTCCCCCTGGTTATCCACTGACACCATCACAGTACATTTGTCAAAACTGTCTCTGTCTTTCCTTGTTTTTCATGACCTTGACAGTTTTGGGGAGTACTCGTGGTGTTCCTTGTAGAATGTCCCACAGTCTGGGATTGTTTGATGTTTCTCCTCACAATTAAACTGGGATTATGGGCTATTGGGAAAAATCTCATGGAGATGAAGTTTCTTTCTAGATTCATGTGCTCTTCCCCATCTCTCCCCCCAACACTGAGACACACACACACAAACATACACTCACACACTCACACTTACTTATTTATATTTCTCTTAGTAAACCATTTGAGAGTTGCAGACGTCATGACACTTTACTGCTAAATATTTCAGCACGTTTCCTAAGACCAAAGATGTTTTCCTACAAAACCGCAAGACGGTTTTCCTCTCAGGAAATTGAGCGCCCTTGTCTAATACATAGCTGATATTCAAATTTTCCACCATATACCAACAGTGTATTTTATAGCTCTTATTTTTTTTCTGGGATCTAGAATTTAATAAAGGGTCACACATTGGTTTCAGTTGTGGAGAGTCCTTGCTTTCCACAGGAAAGTGAAAATTTCCCTCAATTTTCACTTATGTGATTGTTTCTTCATGAAACACAGATTGAATGTTTTCGGCAGGAAAACTTTACTGGTGATGTTGTGTCCTTTCCAGAGCATCACATCAGGTAGACAGGATGTCACCTGTCCGGCTGTTGGTGATGCTAGCTTAGCCTACTTGGTTAAAGTAGTGGCATTTTTCTTCTTTGTAATTAATAAATTCTGGGGTTGTATTTTGGGAAGATGTGACTATTCTGTTCCCCAGCAGTTGAAAGGGGTTTTGGAATCCTCTGATGATTTTTACAAAATGGTGATTTAAAAAATTCTATAATTCCTTCTTCATTTATTACTTGACATTCTGCAGGATAACTCTGAAGGCCATTGAGCAATAGTAATTATCACATAAATACATTTTGTTTTGTCCCCAAAGTGTCAAATACCCCCAAAATTATGTGTTAACTGAGGTATATTCCATAGGAATTTCAGATATATATTTCCATAGTAAAAAGAAACTCCTGTAGTCTTATAAACAGTATATTTAATAAAAGATACCTCCTAGGGGAGCCCTTGTGTAAAAATAATAACAGTAATAAAAAGAAAGAAAAAAAACTTTTAATATATTAAATAGTTTAAAAACCTTTTAGCAAAATGTAAACAATCAGCTATATGCATCACTGGAAATGCAGTATCGTTCGGTATTATAAACTGGAGAGAAGATAAGTCTTTTCTTGCCAAAGGACAATTTAGGACTTTTTTTTTGTAACCTAAAATGAATTTCAACTGTAACTTCTGACATGTTTGATATATAGATGCTGGCATCACGGGCATTTAACATTTCATCTTCAGTGCCATAGTCAGATTACTAACCCTTTGGGCCTCTGTTTCTCATCTGTAAACTGAAGAGTTGGACACATTACAAAATCCTTTCCAATTCTTAATGTTGGATGATTAAAAACATTTATTATAGGAGTTGGACTTCCTACTCCCTTTGGCTAAAGAGAGTATTGCACTAGTTACTTGGTTGATGCTCATGTGAATAAATGTAGTAATATAGATGCTAATGCGAGTAGGAAAGAGGAAAACAAAATATGGACAAAAACCATGAAGCATCATAATAGATTATTGTAGGTCTGTTTCCCTTTCAGGACTGTATGCTATGGGAGTTTCTTCTTTTGTTCCATGCAAGAAAATTTTTAAAATAGAGACCTCCCTTGACAAAGAAAATCAGAGCTATCCTTATAAACCAGCAAGGGAGAAGAGTTTAATAACCGACTAGCTCACGGTTCTTTTCTGTCCAGTGCCTCAACTACTTCCGGCTAGATCCTGACAGCAACTGCTCCTCTGAAAGTCATCAGAGAAGAGAGGATCAGTTTCTACTCTTAGGTACCTGAAGGGAATATATTCCGCATTCTTTCATATTTCAGCTATCTCTTTCACTTCTATGCCCCAGGAGGACTAGAAAACTGGCTCTCTACTTCTTATTAATTTGTTATTAAATTAAATGGTCAATGAAGGCATTAGCCTTCTGGTCCCCATGAAGAATAAACTCGTGGGAGAGAGAGGAAGGGACTGGATTATTCTGCTGGGTGACAGTGCACTTAGGGAAAAAAGCCAAGGAAGAAAAGTCCATCAGGTGTTTTTGTTTTAATTTTTAAAACTCCTGTTTAACAATACAGGGTCTCTTGCAACGTGTGAGCTGCCTCTTGCCAAGAGTGAGTGGCAAAAGAAACTAACCCCAGAGCAGTTCTACGTCACGAGAGAAAAGGGAACGGAACCGGTAAGCTAAGCTGGTTTACAGTTTTCTGATTGCGTGTGTTGGCAGTGAGGGGGCAGTTGGAATAGGTCCAGCTATGAAACCCAACTGCCCAGCAACACTCCTCTTCCATTGTCCCCTTCTCGGAGTGTTGATATCCATCAAGTAGAAACCTGAAACTTTTCCCTGGACACATCATCTCTATTCTGACTCCTAAATAACCTTCCTATCATTTCAATTTCGTGCACCGCTATCACCTCCCCTTGGGGCCAAGTCACTGTCACCTTCTCCGCGCATGGCCATTCTTGCTCCAGCCAACCCATTCTCCACACTGCAGCCAAAGAGTTCTTTGGAAAACACAAATCTGACCATATCACTCCCCAGCTCAAAATCTTCGGTGGCTGCCCAGTGCTTTCAAAGAAAAAGAAAACTATGAGATGACTAATAAGGTCCTAACGGCCCCTGGCTCCCACCCCTATCCTCAAATCCAGCCATCTTCCCTCTTGACCCGGTACTTTGGCCACACCACCCTTGAGCTCTCACACACCCTGGGCTCCCTTCTCTCTTAGGGCCTTTGCACCCAGCATTCCTTCTTCTCTCCCATCACCCCTTCCCATACCCTCCACCCATTCATTCAGACCTACCTTGTAGCTCTCAGCCCAAATCTCACTTTCTCTGGGAAACCTTCTCCTAGCTCCCAGCTAGGCTTGCTTCTAGCAGAACTCTTCCTTCATAGCATTTGCCATTGCTGCTATAACCCCTGGCACCTAACGTGGTGGCTGGCCATAGTAGGCATCCAATAAATCAACTTTTGTGAATGTTGAATGACTGCCAGGTAAGAGGTGCAAACGTTATTTAAACTGCATTTGGCAATCTCAGCTTTCATTCATTTTCTGAGGAAAGCAACCCTTGGTGGTTCCTCATTATAACATCACTTTTTACAGCACTGCATTTATCTGTGTGTCTGTGTGTGTGTCTGTGTGTGTGTGTACAAGTTTCTGGGGTACATGAGAAAATTTGTTACACATATATAATGCATAGTAATTGAGTCAGGGTATTCAGGGTGTCTGTCACCCGAATACAATGCATTTTGTTAAGTGTCATCCACCTACTCTGTTGTCAGACACTGAGCATATTCCTTTTCTCTTACTGTATGTTTGTGGCCTTTAAGCCACTTCTCTTCATCCTCCCCCTACCCTCTGCTCACCCTTCCCAGGCTCTGTTATCCATTTTTCCACTCGCTACCTCCATGTGTTCAAATTCTTTAGCTCTCACATATAAATGAGAGCATAGTGCTGCATTTCTTAACCAGTGATCTTAGACCCAAATATAGCTGCTGGAATGTAGCTTTTCTGAATTGAACTTTGTTATTAGATACTTTTACTAGTGAAGCAGATCTCACAGAGTGGACCCCAGCCCTGTGGCTTCAAGCATAGTAGAGTATGAATGTTTTTTCCTTTGTCAACACCTGCAAAACTCATATCACTACCCACGTGCACTGCCATTGTAATCACGGTGTCACCCTCAGTTTCTCCAATGCTAAAGTCATCAGAAGGACCAGCACATCCCAATAGAGTCCCCTGAAATGCTGGTATTTTTGAAAACTTCCTGTAGGTGGGATTTTACTAAAGCCCTCGTTGGGAAAGAGACTACATTAGCCATTTGTGTAGATTGCACAAGGGAACCACATGATACTCTGTGAGCAGTTGTATGTATTCCCAGAGTATTCTAAGCCAACCCTAATTCTCAGGTGCAGAGCCAGGCAGGGCTTGGTACGTAGAGAGAACCTAGAGATGAGCTGCCAGATGTTTAGGAAAATAAATCTGTGGGCTTCTCAAACAGATGGTGCAATATACTCTCTGTATTTGGCCATTTGACAAAATGAGCATCATTCATTATTTTAACTAATGTTATAAATCCCTTTCCATGGATCCATTTCCACGTTTAACTTTTTAGAATATTGCAGAAATGTAAGCCTTCATTAGCTTTGTTCACCTAACAGAAGAGAAATAAAACATCGACGGTGTCTCTTTGGTGACTCTAAATTAAAATTCAGTCCCACATGGTTTTTCTCGAGCAACAGTAATATGCTAGCACTCTGCTAGACCAATGAATAAATTTACAGGCTGGCTGAGCAATAACTGAAAGTTAAGTATCAATAGAAGGGAGGTTTTGTGCAGGTCATTCTCTGTCTACTCTCCAGATCCACTCTCCACAGGATTCCCCTGCTCTGAGCTCTAGGAAGAGTGAGCAGTTCCTCTTCCCCGCAGCCATTGATTCAGTTTAGCCAGTGGGAGACACCAGTGAGATCTAAAGGTGGGATGGAGAAATCACTAGGGCCCACCATTCTCTCTGTAGGGCTGCAGGTTGGCAGTGGCTGTGTTCCTGTATTGCAGGTGGCAGCTCTTGCAGGCAGCCCTCCCCTGCAGGTGCAGCCTCACCAGGTTCTGGCCACTCCCTCTTCCTCTGTCCCACAGGCCTAGTGGAGGCCATGGCTTCTCAAAGTAATTAGCCTAGGATGCTTTGCCCTCACTTGTGGATTTCCATTGGCCCTGTCCGCACCTTTGTAAACAGTCCTGTGTGAAGTTATCCGCAGTCATCCCTCTTGAGTGTGTCACCTGTTTCCAGCAGGTGTGTTGTATTGACAAGATGGAATGGCAAACTGCCGTTGGTCCAGCAGACCTTGCAATCCCAGGGGAATCTGGAACGTCATTCTCTCTCTGACCCTGGCCCCTCCCTGTGCAGCCAGGCATTTCAGTTCTCTCTTCTAAGTATTCTTGAATCGCTTTCTTTTATTTCCACTGCTCTGCCTGAGCAGGAGCACACTCCAGGCCTGCATGTGTGAGGGACATTGGATTGCTCTCTGCCTTTGGTGGCATCTTGCCCCATTCCAGCTCATTCTTTACCTGAATGTCAAGTGATCTTTCTAAAAACCAACTCCAATCAGGTGTCCACCCAGTTTACAAGTTTCCAGTAGCTTCACATTTCCAGTAGGACACAGTTTAAGCTCTTCATCACGATCTAACCAACCCCAGCTGGCCTGGTCTCACCCGCCTTCCAGCATCATCTCTCTCCATCCTCCTCTTTGCCCTCTTCTCTCATGTGGGCCTTGCCCAAGGTATTCTGCCTGCCAGAAATACTCTTCCATTTCCTCATTCAAAAGTCAGCTTAGTGTTGGCATTTTTCTATAATAAACAACATTTTTCTAAATTCTGCAATTTAGAATAATAATAAAAGGTTAAGAAATAAAAAGACTCCCCCCCACCATCTCAGATAATATCTGATACAGACAGCCTTTGTGGAAACTCCCTTCATAGTGAAGGGTACAGCGCTACCTGAACTCCATGCCATCTCTATCATAGCTGTCACCACATGGTATAAATTGTCAGCTCACGTGTGTCTTCCTCCCACTGAAGTAGCAAATTCTTTGAGTGCAGAAACTGTTTTGCTGCCCACCTCTGCAACATTAGCACCCAGCTCAACCTGGGTTTATATTAGATTATCAGGTAAATACTAGAAATGAGATAGAAGCTGAGTTTAACCCTAAATAAGTTACAGGACTTGTATAAAATTGGAGAGGGAGGGCACATCATGAACTAGGCAAGGAGAGAGTGGGTAGATGTCATTTTAGAAACTATACTGGCGAGTATTCCTTTTCATTGATTTTTTTTTTTTTCCTTGAGATGGGATTTTGCTCCTGTTGCCCAGGCTGGAGTGCAATGGTGCGATCTTGACCCACTGCAACCTCCACCTCCTGGGTTCAAACAATTCTGCCTCAGCCTCCCAAGTAGCTGGGATTACAGGTGCCTGCCACTACCCCCGGCTAATATTTTGTATTTTCAGTAGAGATGGGGTTTCACCATGTTGGCCAGGCTGGTCTTGAACTCCTGACCTCAGGTGATCCACCCGCCTCGGCCTCCCAAAGTGCTGGAATTACAGGCATGAGCCACCGCACCTGGCCTTCACTGATTTTTTAATTTTTATTTTGCTTACTGTGAGAGCAGTTATCTGTCACTTCCTCTGTCCAACTGCCCCCCTGTAATAATGAAATTATGTTTTGAGTCTTCCCAGGCTATCTGGATGCTATGAAAAGGCTTTTGTAGATCAGCCTTGGAACTGGCAGTCATGTTTTGCATGCATGCATCTTCAGCCCAGGTGGGAAGGATGGGAAACTTCCTCTTCTTTTTTTTTTTTTTTGAGATGGAGTCTCACTCTGTCACCCAGGCCGGAGTGCAGTGGCACAATCTCAGCTCAATGCAACCTCTGCTTCCCAGGTTCAAGCAATTCTTCTGCCTCTGCCTCCCGAATATCTAGGATTACAGGCATGTGCCACCACATCTGGCTAATTTTTTTGTTTTTAGTAGAGATGGGGTTTCACCACATTGGCCAGGCTGGTCTTGAACTCCTGACTTCAGGTAATCCACCTGCCTCGGCCCCCCAAAGTGCTGGGATTACAGGCATGAGCTACCATACCAGGCCAACTTCCTCTTCTTTACAGCTGCCAACTAGTGCCAGTGTTGGGAGCAGGCATTTGAGGGGACTGGCCATAAAGGACCAGCTCACTACCATTCGGATTTCTGCAGCTAAGTTTAGGGTTTTAAAGAAGGAAAACATCCAAGTGTGCCCAGATAGTAGGCTCAGTAGGTTAATTTGAAATTGTCTGTTATGCAGCTCACTGAAAATGTGCTGTTAAACTACCACAGGGAATTTGGATGTTTGACCTGTGAATTTTTTGAGTTGGGAAGCCTGGAGGGGTCTGAAGATTTCCTGAGTCAGCTTTGTCACTTGATGAGCTGTTCTGTGTTTTGGCTTTCCTCTGGCCCATAGGAGGGGATGGTGCCTGCTGCCAGGCCCTGTGATAGTGGATCTTCATAGTCAGCTTGTGCAAGGGTTGATTTTTCTTTAATTTTCTTTGACAGAGGAGATGACAAAAGAAATTGGGCAAAAATGGTCTTTAAAAAAAAGTCATCAGCCGGGTGCAGTGGCTCATAGCAAGTGCCTGTAATCCCAGCACTTTGGGAGGCTGAGGCATGCCGATCACTTGAGGTCAGGAGTTCGAGACCAGCCTGGTTAACACAGTGAAACTCCGTAAAAGTACAAAAATTAGCTAGGCGTGGTGGCATGCACCTGTAGTCCCAGCTATTCGGGAGGCTGAGACAGGAGAATCACCCGAACCCGGGAGGCAGAGGTTGCAGTGAGCTGAGATCGTGCCATTGTACTCCAGCCTGGGCAACAGAGTAAGACTTCATCTCAAAAAAAAAAAAAAAAAAAAAAAAAATCAAGTTTGAGAAATAACATTTAAACAAATATTGACTTGGCTCATTCATTGACTTGTCTCCTGTTTTCCGCTCAGAATACCTCTGAAAACTTGCAAACCCTGTAACTCACAATGAACGTAGTAATTTCATCTAAGTAGTAACCTGGGTTGGTGGGGGGAGAATCTAGCTCATTATTTAACATTTATTAAGTACACTGTGTCCTAACCATTATGTGAAGCATATTAAAGGCAAAATCCCTGATCTCACTGAACTATGCTTTTTATGTATTTATATTCTGTCTTTAACTGGAGATTTCAAAGTATGTTAGACAGTGGACTAGATTCCTGTTGTATTAACTCTTTTAAAAGGGAGAACGAAATCTCACAATCACAGAGGACAAGACTCTGTTCTCTTGCTTTTTCACCGACTTTGATGCTCTTGGATGAAAAGTCCTGTATGAATACAAAGATTATCAATGTCATAATTTGAATATTGAGTGCAATAAAGGCCCGGCTGTAAATACATCTGCAGGCTGCTTCATTGGGTGCATTATAATTTTCTCTCTGGCGTTACTTGCGCTTCGTCAAATTAGTACAGAAATTCCTTGATTTGGGGACTTACCCAGGATTTAAATCTGCTGTATCATCTCCTGCCAGTAGTATGAGAAATCTGAACGTGACATATCTAATTTACTTTCAGCCTTTCAGTGGGATCTACCTGAATAACAAGGAAGCAGGAATGTATCATTGCGTGTGCTGCGACAGTCCACTCTTCAGGTAAGATAAAGAATCGAGAGCTAAGGAAGGAGAGCAAACCTCCAGGTTCTTACTGCTCTGTTTCATTTGAGATCTTGGATAAATAAATACCCATAATACCCATTTTGTTTTTTAAATTGCCCTTCTCATTTTGCATTGTTGCTGTAAGGAGAGCTATTCATATGAGATACTTGCATGTCTTGATTTTTATTTCTAGCATTTAGAGCCATTAACAAGACTTCTTAGCTTATATTCTTCCTTCCTCTATCCTCAAGAAATAGCAAGGAAATAAAACTTGGTGGGCACCTTATGATAAAACTATTAGAGTTTTTTTTTTTTTTTTTTTAGAGGGAAAGTATTTAAAGAAATCTAAACCATGATTATATTTGCTGAGCCATGTGATTAAAACTCTCTCCCAGGGAAAATGGGTTTATAATTTAATTTAGGAAATGTAGAATTTTATGAGGATAGATTCCCCACAATGCTTGACAGTGGTGAATACCATGCCCTCTTCTATATAGCTAAAAGTAAATTTAATTGTCCCTTGATTTCAAAGCCTCTTTTAAGTCAATCAGGATCTGAAATCTCTCAACAAAGGCTTTCTTGTTTAGACATGCAGGAAACAGTCTTAAAAAAAAGTAGATTCGATGGAGAAGAAAGGAAAATATCTTTGAAGTCCTATTTTTCAGAACTTCAAAGATGTTTTCCTTTCTTTTGCATCAACCCTAAATTAGTTTAGAATAAAATATAAATCAAGCCAGCTCTGTGCATCACCAATTAGGCAGTGCTTCCTTCTGTCCTCTGGGCTTTGGGCAGTCTGGGCCTTCCTGCCCGACTGGCTGCTAATGTGGGCTGCGTTAGGAAGCCGGACCCGCCTGCAAGGATGAGGAGTGATTAGCATCGATTTTCCTCCATGCTCACAGATGGGCAGGACTTTGCCCAGATGCATTCACATTGGCATGGGGGAAACTAGAAGGAGGTTAATTTTTACACAGTAAAATGTGGGACTCAGGTTTCTGAGACAATAGTTATTTCTTGACGTTTGGTTCTGTTAAAGAGGAGAGGTAGGACTTTGAGATGGCCCATGAACTTTAAGCCATAGAACCATGCTGCCAGCGTGTCAAAGGCTCCCTTGTTACTGCAGGCACCAGGCAGTCCTCTGTCTCCCTCTTCACACTGTGAATACAGAAGATGAATCATCCTTGCAAGAGCATTCTCCTAAATCATAGTCTTCACTCTTCCCCTTCCTTGATGTTCCCATTTCTGCATCTGAAAAAGAAGGGGCCTTCTTCCCTTCCTTTTACCTTGCAGGCTTAGTTGTAGTGTCAGAATACTGGAACCAGGAGGGTCCTGAGTCCAGAGCACAAACCTCTGTCCAGTAGAACTTCCTGTGGTGATGGAGATGTCTGTATCTGGCCATGTGGTAGCCACTCATCACATATGCTTGTTAAGCACTCAAGATGTGGCTAGCATGGCTGAGAAGCTGACTTTTTCAATTTAATTTTAATTAATTTAAACTTAAATTTAATTTTAATTAATTTAAACTTAAAAGGCCACATGTGGCCAGAGGCTACTATGTTAGCACAATGCTAGTTCAAATTCAGGAAGTTAAGTGACCAACCCCAGGTCCTGGAGGAAACCAGCCGATTCTCCAAAAGCCCACTGACCAAGTGGCCAGTTTAAGGGACTGCCAATCCACCAACCTTATTTGTGTTTGTGTAACCATTTAGTTTCAGTTGAAAAGTTTCCATTTTGCATTCTTAAAGACTTCTGAGTCTGTTTCTGTTCTTCTTTCTTGTTGCTGCTACTGCAGCTGAAGGAAATAATATATTCCTGAAGATTATTTATGTTCCAGAATATACTCTTCTTAAAGATGCACTCATTTATGGGAGAGGAAGTAGAATAGTTAAGATTGCCAAGGTATACATCCTGGCTCCATTGCTGTGTGACCTTGAGCAAATTTCTTAACCTTTCTGTGTCTGATTTCCTCACCTGTAAAATGAAGATAATAGTAACCAATTCATCAGGTTGCTGGGAGGATGATCTGAGTCATGAGTTAATACACGGAAAAGCATAGAACAATGCCTGACATGCCTGACTCAGGCCAGGCAGTTGCTGCAAGTTAGTAATGATTTTTTTTTTTTTTTTTTTTTTTTGAGATGGAGTCTCGCTCTGTTTGTCCAGGCTAGAGTACAGTGGCGTGATCTCGGCTTACTGCAACCTCGGCCTCCCAGGTTCAAGCGATTCTCCTGCCTCCTGAGTGGCTGGGATTACAGGCGTGTGCCACCACGCCCGGCTAATTTTTTGTATTATTAGTAGAGATGGGGTTTCACCATGTTAGCCAGGATGGCCTCAATCTCCTGACCTCAGGTGATCCGCCCGCTTTGGCCTCCCATAGTGCTGGGATTACAGGCATGAGCCCCCGCACCCGGCCATAATGACGTGTTCTTAAGCAACAGACCCCTCTTAGGGCTGTATACATGAATGTGCTTTTGATCCTGAGGAATTCTGGAAGATATATTCTAATTAATGAGAATATACAAATGCAGACTATATTCCTGAGCCTTCTTCCTGTTCAAGAGGAGTTTTAGAAATATATTCTTGTTTTGCCTCTCATTTTCCTTCTCTTTCTGTCTCTGGTCTCCAGTTTCTATAGTAGGAAGCAGAGGTACAGAAAAAAAATTCCTTCAAATGCTTGTGTAGAATGAAAGTGAAGGGAAAGTTGGTCAACCAAAACTAAGTAGTACTTTTAACAAGTAAATGCAGGGCCCGCTCCTTTGAGCTGCCTGCTCCAGCTCGGCTGCTTCCTGCCTGGGACCCCCCCTTCATGCTGTGCTGGCCTCCTGGGATCTGCTCAGCCCCACTAATGCTAATTGAAATTCCACTTATTTTTGGATCCCAGATTTATCCTGAAACGTCCTCTGATAGCACACACTGTGGGTTTTTTTTTTTTTTTAATCTGCTTCAAATTCCTATTTATCAATATCACACAATTTAGGACCTAATTATTCTCCTATTGGTTCAAGCATTTTATTTAGTTAAGGAGAGAAACTTGATTAGCTCTCGAGCCCCTTGGCCATCTTATCCTTCTTGGACAAGCCTCATGGAAGTTGCTACGGGTTGAATTTTGTCTCCCAAAAAGACATGTTGAAGTCTTAATCTCTGGAAGCTGGGAATGTGACCTTATTTGGAAACAGGGTGGCTGCAGGTATAATTAGTTTAGATAAGATCATATTGGAGTGGGGTCAGCCCTAGTTCCAAAATCACTGGTGTCTTCTAAGAAGAGAAGTCGTCCAGACAGAGAGGAGTCAGCCATGTGAAAACGGAGGCAGAGATTGGTGATCCGCAGCTATAAACCAAAGATTGCCTACCTTAGAAGGTAGGAAGAGGCAAGGAGGGATTCCCTAGAAGCTTCAGAGCCCTGCGGACACTTTGACTTTGGACTTCTATCTTACAGATTGTGAGAGAGTCCCACCCATTTTGTGGTATTTTGTTGTAGCCACCTTGGAAACGAATACTTAGATGCTCCCTAAGTACTTCTTGATTCGTTAATAACATCCGTCCTGCTGCTTAGAAGCCATAGCAGTGTTGGGACTATCAGAAGCTGTGGTTATGGGCTGGGCATGGTGGCTCACGCCTGTAATCCGAGCACTTGGGGAGGCCAAGGTGGGTGGATCACTGGAGGTCAGGAATTCGAGACCAGCCTGACCAGTATAGCGAAATACTGGCTTTTCTAAAAATACAAAAATTAGCTGGGCATGGTAGCACACGCCTGTAATCCTAGCTACTAGGGAGGCTGAGGCAGGAGAAGAGCTTGAACCCAGGAGGTGGAGGTTTCATTGAGCTGAGATTGAGCCACTACACTCCAGCCTGAGTGACAGAGTGAGACTCCATCTCAAAAAAAAAAAAAAAAAAAAAAAAAAAAAAAGCAGCTGTGATTATGAAATCACTGTAGAAATGTGAGGGAAGTGGCTGCAACTTCTTGAGCACTTACATGCCCGACACTGGGCTCCAATGCTTTGCAAACAATCCTCACCTTCCAATAAGAAGCTATGAAAACCCCCATTTAACAGATGTGAAAACTGAGGCTTAAAGAATTTAACTAACTTGCTCAAGGTCACTTATCTAGTAAGCCATAGTGCAGGGATTTGGATTCCACTGGAGCCTGTACAGTGCACTCTTCTTGAGAGTACAAAGCACCCCAGCAATGAAGGAGCCCTCTGGACATGTGGCAGGTGCCATACCCAGGCTCTTCATGTGCATCATTTCATCAGACCTCTTGGCAGCTCCCCGTAGTGTTGTTATTATTCTCATTTCATGTGAGGAAACTGAGAGGAAGATGAAATAACTTGTCCAGGGTTCCGCAGCTTACAGGTAGCCAGCCAAAATATGACCTCACAGTTTTGGACTCCAGAGCCCACATTCTTCACTAGCTGAGCTTCCATTAAGCCACGTGGGCAGCACCGTTGACATAGGTGCCATCGCCTTCTGGTGCCTGCATTCTGAATTACAGGTGTAAGTTTCTCAGAAGACATAACCAGTCTCTGATGGTGATCCCGGCCAGTGTAACTCATGAGGTCCCTTTCCAGAGCCTTGTTGCTAGCCTCATCTGCCAGACTTACCGTCATTCTCCTCATCATCCTATAGTTGTTGGAATGAGTTTGGTGCACAGTTTTTGAGAGCTTCTGCCTCTCCAAATCAGAGACCTTTAATCAAAGGTATCTGGGTGAAGAACACTTTCCAGAATATGTTGCCACATTCCTAGGGACTCCAGACTCTCATTTCGCTAACTTGGAATGAAGTGACATTGTCCCCCACTGCCACTTCCTCTCCTCCTTCTCTCCTTCCTTCTCCCTTTCTTCTTCCACATAAGCCTATTGGGAAAGTGTTTATTAAAATCTATTGTGGGATCACATACTTCACGATCATAAATCTTCTTAAAATAAGAAGAAACAGAGCCTGATACTAGTTCACCTTTTACGTAACTTCCTGATGTCTTATGCACCATGGGTAACCAAGTA